TTCAGGTCCCGGTCCTGGGCTCCGGGAGCTCCACTCCTGCAGAGCTTGTCTGGGCGTGAGAACAGAAGCCAAGGGAAGTGTTTGCTTTGGAACAAAGAAGGGACAAGCATGGATTTCTGGAGGCACTCACCATTTCAGAGGAAGGAGTCATCTGTTTCTCATAAGATGGAGCGTGGGGAGTGGAATCCATTTCCCTGCACTGCCTGGGATCGCTCCATCCTAGCCTGGCCACAGCTCTTGCCGGTCAGGACCAGGCGCCACCACAGCCAGGCCTATGTTTGGAGAGTGGACTTGAATTCCCTTTGAGTCTTCAAAGGCTAGGCCAGAAGCCTTTCCAGATGCTCCCGACCCCTGCCCTGTAATGTGGGTGTGCGGGTGCTCTTTGTGTGAGCGTGGGCAGGCGGGAGACATTGGTGGGGAAGGCGTCCAAGTGAGCAGTCCTCAGATCTGGAAAAGGCTGCTGTCACCCTGATTTAACTTTCCAAGGCTCCATAAGCTCTCCACTCCCTCTCTGTGGGATTCAAGGAATTGCTTTCCTGCTGCAGCTAAAAGGATCAGCCTGGTTGCAGAAACCCCCACACAGAACCACACCTTAGACCATTATTAACAAGGGAAAGGTGCTTTTCCATGGAAGTTTTGTCTCTCCCTTTTGAAGTTTCATGTTCCTGATTTGCTCTTAGCAGCTCAGAGTTTCACTCTTATTTTATTTATTTTTATTATTTTGCATTCGTTTTTAAAAATTAGTATCAAAGTGTGGACTCAGTGAGGTTCAGAAGCCCTACTGAGTGCTAATATTCCCCAGGGTTTCTTTTGGGCTTCTTGATGCTGAGGGGACAGGTCATGGTAAATGAGGCAGGAAGGCTCCCTCCCCGTGCCCCCAACCACTCAGCACCCCCGCCCCACCACAGAATGGAGGCCAGCTGGTGGGGGTGGGTGGGGGAAGTGGAGTTGCCACGGCTTGTTGCAAATGGAAGACGGACGTCAGTGGCTGTCAGTACCACATCTCTCAACAGCCCCAAATTACTGCCCCAGGATTTATATGAAAAGAACTGGGAAGTGCAGAGAGACAGAACTACTCATAATGTCTGCAGCTTAATGAGGACAGTGTGCCCACTTCCATGAGGAACTTCTGACCTTACCTCTGTGCCCCAGAGTCCCACGGGAAGGGCTGGTCAGGTGGGCTTATCTGCCTTTGCCAAGAAGAAGACAAGAACCACCTCACATTTAGTGAGCTCTTCCCATGAGCCAACTTGAGCTAAGAGCTTGGCACACTCATTAGATCTTCCCCACAAACATGTGAAATAGGTATTGTTATCCCAGAGGAGGGGAAACTGAGACTTAGGCTGTACATTAAGCAGGATAGACTAGGTTGTGCTGCAGTAACAAACAGTCCCAAGAATCTTAGTGGTTTTACACAAGCAGCTTATGGTTCCCCTTCATGCAGCGTCCTTCCAAGCAGTGATCCTGGCTGCTTTGATCCTTTGGTCCCCCAATTTCAACATGAGGCCTCCTCTACTCATGGCAGGGGAAGAGAAAGACTGGAGAATTACACATGAGTGCTTCACTAGCCTGGAAGTGAACTTCCTCTGTCATTTCACTGGCCAGAACTAGTTCCTGTGGCTCTACCCCACAGCAAGGAAATTGAGATGTACAATCTTCCCATGTGCTGGGAAGGGGAGGAGGACTGGATACAGATGAACCAAGTTCTACCTAAAGCCATAGCTCAATCTCTGTCCATGACACCCAGGACCAGCAGAGGAATCCCTTCCCTCCAGCCTCAGCCAGCAAGGATTGTGTGAGCACATCGCTTGTGTCACTTTGCTGGGCACGCTTGAAGTCATTAAGTGACAATGGTAGGCCTTGTAGCTCCACAAAACCTCACCATCTTCAGAGCTTTTAAATGTGCACTGGTTCACCAAATCCCCAAAACAACATAAAGAAGTGGGTAGGGCAAATATTCATAGCCTCATTTTACAGCTCAAGAAACTGAAATCAGAAATATTAGGAGACTTGGCTTGCTCAGAGCTAATAACTAAGAAATGCAGACCAGATCCTCATTATTCAAAAGTCTAATTTGAAGTTCCTCTCAACATATCCAACTCTCCGTAATTTTAGAATCTGGAAAGACCACCTTTCCCCCAATTACCTCCTTGACCTCACTAATGCCTAAAATTCCACCGTTGAGATGTCATGCCTTCACTGGATCCTTCTCTGAAGGAAATGACAGTCTAGGCAGGTCACCATTAATGCACATTAAACAAATCATGCAGCCTTAGGTTTAAGAACATTTGAGCTAGAATTCAGAGAACAGAGAGATCAGGGTGAGTGGAAGAGTTAAGGAAGGCTTCACCACGAAGCTGCTGCCCTTGGTAAGATACGGACAAAGGGCAACTCCATACCACATGGAAATTCCTTCCCAATTCCTTCTTCTAGTCTATTGCATTAGAAAAAAAATGTGCAGAGTGCCTTTCTATTTGCTATTTTATTTAATTCCCTAAGCAATTTGGTTAGGAAATTGGAGTGGGTTGAATAGATCTTTCTTCTTGTTTAACAAAAAACTGAAACCTACAAAGGCTAAAGTGACTTATCTAACATCAGAGCAAATCAGTAACTTGAATAAAGAAGCAAAAATGTTAAAGAGTAATAATAGTCAATCCTTGTAAACATGTGGTGAAACTGCCACATTTATAGCTACCTGGTGGTGTATAAATTAATACATTTTATAAAAAGCAAAGTTTTATTATAAAATATTTCATATATATAACAGTATTTATATAATACACATATATTTAGCATAATAAAAAACTGTATCTATCACCCTGTTTATTACCAATGTTCCAAAACACTAGATGTCTTTCAGTTATAAAAATGATATATGCTCTTGGCAAAACAATTCAAATCATGTAGAGGATGGACTTTAAAGTCCTTTTTCCCATCCTGTTGACCTCTTCATCCTGGTCCCCAGGGATAATGACTGTTAACAATTGTCGCATGATATATATTCATTTTGGAAGGTACTCTATATATTAATATATTGAAAGTCATAAATATGTCTATAATTCTTGGTCCTATCACCCCACCTGGGGAATTTATCCCAGGAAAAGACTCCCCAGTATTCCCCTCGTTTCCTAGAAATAGCCAAGTTCATTCCCATGCAAGTCTTTCCCCTTGCTGTTTCCTATCTGGGAACCCACTCCTCCAGATTTGCTCATGATTGGCTGTCCAGTCAGGTCTCAGCTCAAATGCCACCACTGCTGGGAGACCGCCCAGGGTCACCCATCTATACATGCTTCCCCCTACATCACACCCTGCATTCTTTTGTCTCCTGCGCCTACATTCTCTGATGTCACCTTGTTGAATTGCTCCTTCACTGATTTGTTCTGTCTCCTCCCCCAGCCCATCATAAGTCACTTGAGAGAAGGCCTTTGTCACCTGCCTTGTTCTCCTGTGCCTCCAGTACCTGGCGCACAGTGAGAATGCCGGTCTCAGTTGAGAGGACAAATGCCTATTCATGAAAACACCACCTGGCACTTAGGTAAGAGATGTTATTTGACTCACCCTGGGACCCTGGCAGCTACTTCTGCAAAGAAACAGCTCTTGCTGGCCTTCGAGACTCTAAGGAACCGCTGTGTGGGAAGTCAGGCGGGCCTAATGGCCAACCTGTCATCTCTCCCAGCAGAATAAGCAGCCTTTCAGATGTCGATCCTGCAAGGCCCACAGTCTGCCCTCCTTCTCAACCCTTTCATTCTTGGCTCCTAAAAGGAGAGGTAAAGAACATCCGCTGGGCAAGAGACTCTGTCCAAATAACACCCAGGCTTCACTTAATTAAGATGAATAATTTAAAGACTCTCAAGTCAGACAATGGAAACATTAAGAGTTTCCACCAAAACATAAACTTGGCCAAGTGGGCTTGGTCTCCAGAGGCCTCCAAGAACATTCTCAGAGACAGGGGGTGCTTCCTGCGTAGCCTGGGGGTGGGGAGTGGGAGTTAGGCTGGGAGAAGGCAGGGGAAATGGAAGCCCGAGTCCTAAGCTGAGTTTCACACACACATGCCAGGCTGCTGGGCTGAGTGACTCTCCCTGACTTTTTTCCTGACAACAAAATAAAACGTGTACTATTGATGAGTCAAAAGAAAAATCAAAATGTTACATAATGCTATTGTCCAGAAAGACAATATTTTGTAGTGTCTCTTTGTAATGTTTTTTTCCTAGCATAAATACTTTAAACAACAAAAATGTGAGTATACTATATACTACCGTGTAGATTGCTTTTTTTCACCAAATAATATATGGTGAACATTTTCTCATGCCATTAAATACTCCTCAACACTGTCATTTTTATGGTTGTGTAGTATTCCAATATATGACTGGATCATTGAACTAATCCCCTGTCATCAGACATTTGGTTTGTCTGATGGACAGCAGCAGGACAATGACTATTTCTGAAATTCATACATGATTATTTTCTTAGGACTGATTCCCAGAAGTGGAATTTCTATTTTAAATGGTATGTAAAATTCTAAGGGTTTTTATATGCAGCTATTGAAAATAGTACATTTAGTAGTTTGAAGAGCATTAACAAATGTGGTCTGCTACCTTATTTTTTGGTCT